TCGGCCTATAGGAACTGCATCTAGGGTCAGGAACTCTGCTGTCACATCCTTCCCGTATTCATCTCATGAGCCCCTTTGGCTTGCAGGAATAGTCCAGAATTTTTCTCCTCTTTAAGTCCAACATTTACACTGTATATATATATATATATTTTTTCTTTTGTGGGGGAGGAGAGATTTGTTTTTTTATTTTCCTTGCTTTTATTCTTTTTTTCCCTTTTCTTTCCATTCCCTTGCATTTTATCCTTTCCATCTCTACTTTTGTTTTTCCTTCTTTTCTTGTTTCTCATTTCCTCTCTTTCCATGATAGGAGTCCTGGTGTGGTGCTGTGGGTTAATGCATTGGACTGCAAAGTCAGTGATTCAAGCTCACCAGCTGCTCCTGGGAAACCCTATACAGGGTCATTAGGAGTCAGAACTGAGTCAATGGCACTTAACAACAACTGTCTTTTCTTCTTCCCTGTCCCTGTTTTGTTCTAAGTTTTTTTCCCCTATCCTTTCACTTTCTCTCCTATTGCTCCATTTTCCTGTCCCTCTTTTCTCTTTTTAATTATATATATATATATATATATATATATATATATATATATATATTTATTTATTTATAGTTTCTGCCCACTTTTCTTTCTTTAGTTTTTTAACCACACCAGTAAATTTAATTAGGAATTTCAATAAGATTACTCTCTAGGAATGAGAGTGCCAGTTAGGGGGCACAAAAGCCCAGGCAGCCCCCTCAGATCTCATAGTGAACCACTGGGTCAAACAGATCATTATGAAGCTGCTGCTTTGGGTCCACTGGCTGATAGGTGTGCTGCATCTCCGCAACCCAGAACATGAGCGGCATGAAGGGTACAGAGCCAGAGAGACGCTTATGCACGTCTACATCCTACAAAACTGGTGTGGGGGATGTGTCCACACAGTGGAACAGTTTAGCCTAGTCCAACTTCAGGTCTGAGTATTCCAAGTGTTCTCTCTCTTGAGTGAGTGATCAAAGTGCTTCGGGTAATAGCCATACCCCATGCCACCATCTAAGTACAGCTCATAGTCTTCTGTGAGCACATTATACTTCTTGGCAGTGGCAGTCCATTCTTCTGAGGTTTGGGGATAGGGCCTGGGAAGCATTTCCTTAGGAATGTGGAAGGCTATCCAATGGTATCACATTCCAAGCTGTCCTTTGCAGCCAGCCATTGTACTCCCAGGGCCCCCACCCTAGCCGCTGCCAACTTCACCTTCTTTACATCTCATTTTATTTGTTTTTTCTTCTTTATTATTTTCTCTTTTTACTGTTACTTGCTTGTTTCTTTATTCTGCTTTGGTTTCTTGTGTGTGTGTATATTTTTCCTTTTGCCCAACTGACAGGAGATAGCAACCGTGCCCATTAAAGCCCAGTCACAACTACACTATCTGCAGCTCCACCTATTGGGCAAGAGCCAATACCAGCTCCTATCGCACCTGATTAACAATAGGCAACAGCCAATACCAGTTAAACCCACACTAAACTGAGGTACACAAACAACAAAAGGATGATATGTAAATACCTTCAAAGGATTGGCAGGAATATTGAGGAAAACAAGGAGAACACAGAAAGAACTTTAGAAAAATTCAGGAAAACACTACAAGAACAAACAGAGCAAATAAATGCAAAACTGTTGAATAATACAAAACCTGCAAACAGAAATCCAGAAGATTAATACTAAGATGTCAGAAATGGACAAGACATTGAAAGAACAAAGGAACACATTTGAAGCAATGGAAACCCAAATTAGTGACTTGAAAATAAATCTCTTAATACTAGTACGCGAGAAGAATAGTCAGAAAAATAGAATGAAAAAATTCAGTCTGAAGAAAGCCAAAGAGTTATGTGGGACACCATGAAGAAGAATAACTTATGGGTAATGGAATTCCAGAACAGAAGGATACAATAAAAAGCACAAAGAAAATTGTCAAAGAGTTGCTAAAGGAAAACTTCCTTAACATTATAGAAGTTGAGAAGATAAGCATATAAGAAGCTGAACAAACCTCTAAAAGGATAGGCCCCAAAAGTAAATCACTAGGAATACCATAATCATACTTTCTAAAACTATAGACAAGGAAAGAATCCTGAGAGCAGGTTGGGAAAACCCAAAAAGTTGCCTACAAAGGAGAATCAATAAAACTAAGCTCTGATTTCTCAGCAGAAACCATACAGGCAAGAAGGCAATGGAATGACATATACAAAACCCTTAAACCAGGAATCATATATCCAGCAAAGCTCAAATACCATGATGAAATTAGGACATTTTCTGGCAAACAGAAATTAAAGGAATTTGTAATAATAAATAGACCAATTTTATAAGAAATACCATAGGGTATTCTTTGGACTGAGAACTAACAACGGCAGACAACTATTTGAGATTAACGCATATGACAACACCACCCAGAACTCAATCCAGATATAGAAGTATTTAAAGTAAAACAAACCTACAAGGCTGAAAATAGGTATCAATTTATAATGAAGTCAAATACAAAGCAAAAAGAGGAAATGGTGTGTATGTAGAATTTCTAGATTGTGAGGAAGTCAAGTAGATTTTAAGATAAAACAGAAATTTAACCAGGAAAAAAAAATGAATAAATTACATGGCAACCTCAAAGAAAATGAATACATCTTCACGTCAAAGCGAAAGAGAGGAAAATTAGAAAGATTCAGCAGACATTAACAATAGAAATGAAGAAAACCCTCAAATGGAACTCAGCACAGAAAATAATGTTGAACAAAGATACCAGCAGTAACACCAAAACCCACATAGCAAAATGACAGCAATCAATTCATACCTATCAATAATTCCACTGAATGTAAATGGACTAAATGGGCCAGTCAAGAGTTACAAAGCAGCAGAATGGATAACAGGATCTTTTAATATGCTATCTACATGAAACACATCAAAAAGATGGAGACAGCTTAAATGCCCATCAACAAAAGAATGGTTAAACAAACTTTGGTACATACACACAATGGAATACTATGTATTGTTGAAGAATAACAATATTGATGATCTGTGAAACACCTCATAACATGGATGAACCTGGAGGACATTATGTTGAGTGAAATTAGCCAATCATAAAAGGGCAAATATTGTATGAGACCACTCGCTACACAGAGTCGCTATGGGTCGGGATCGACTTGATGGAGCTCAACAACAACTGTTGTAAAAAGTTAAGAAAAGGTTTTCTAGATAAAAGAAACATTCTATGATAGTTACCGGAGATGGGGAGGGAAAATTACTCATGGGCTAGATGGTAGACAAGTGTTAACATTGGTTATGGGGCAAGCAATAAGAGGGAGATTGGCAGAGGAAGGATGAAGGTAGTGGAACAGACAGAGAGGTAAATGCTGTTAAGTGATGGTACGAGGAGGGGATTGTAATCATTGTAATGAAGCAAAGTATATGATTTGTTGAATGTAAAACTGACGGTATTCTCTGTGAACCTTCACTGGATTCACAATAAAAAGCTAAGAAAAAGTTGAATTGACAAAAGCAATATGACAGATATATTTATAATAATGACCAAAAAAACAAAACAACAACAAAACCCCAGAGTAGCTGCTGAGGGTGCTTATATACAACCAAACCCTTCATATGACTTGGTTCCTCGGTTTGAAAGTTTTCTGTCATGGTTTCACAGAGCATTCCAATTAATCGGCCTAATGATAGATTTAGTGCTTCTGTTCTATGTTTAGTTTATTGTGTAGTGTCTGAGGGTTTAAAGGCTGTGACTGATCATCCAAGGTACAACAATTGGTTTCTATTCACCTGGAGTAACAAAGGAAGGGGAGTCCTGGTGTGGCACTGTGGGTTAATGCGCCAGACTGCAAACTGCAAGGTCAGTGGTTCAAGCTCACCAGCTGCTCCTCGGAAACCCTATACAGTGTCACTATGGGTCAGAACCGACTCGATGACACTTAACACAACAAAGGAAGGCGGGAAGTCATGAATAAAAGGAGGCTATGGAATGTATGACTAATTGTCTCCATGAACAAGTACATGCCTTCTTTGCCACGAGACCAGAAGAACTGAACATTTTGACCCAAGATTCCATTAACAGAGACCTGTTCAAAAAGGGGGAAATGCAGAACAGAATTTCCAATTCTCATGGATTCTAGACTTTCTGGAGCCACAGAGGATGGATGGAACCCGGAAATTACTGTTCTGAGACAGTCTTTAAACCTTAAAGCAAAAACATTTCCTGAAGTCTAAAAATTGACCAGTAGCTTAGTTTAACTAGTAAAAATAGGTCTGCCTTGAGCATTATGCTCTTTTAAGAACTATTTATATTTGATCAAATTGACAACAGTAACTCAAAAGATTAGACAGGAACATCAGAGGCAGTGATTTTATGCTAATGAGGGTGAGAATGGTGGCTCAACTCCAAGACTCTAATTACTGTCACTAAACTGTACATGTAAACAATGTTGAATTGGTGTGTGTTTTGCTATTCATTTTCCCAATAATAAAACAAATAAAATTTCAAGGAAAAAAATCAGTGAATTTTCAGAAAAGTCTTGTACCTTTAATTTAAATGATATTATTAGTTAAACTCTGAAAGTAATGAAGAGCATTTTGATCCTTTGCATGGGATCAAAATGCTATTTATTTATACATTATGTTGTTGTTAAGATTTGTCAAATCATTTCCGACTCATAGCAACCCTGTATAAGGTTTCTAAGGAGCGACTCGTGGATTTGAACTGCCAACCCTGTGGTGAACAGTCCAGTGCTTAATACATTATGTGGTGGTTGTTATTGAGTGCTGTTGAGTTGGTTCCAACTCACAAATACAGGATTTCCAAGGAGCAGCTAGTGGGTTTGAACCACTAACCTTGGGCCCGTGGTTTAAGAAAAAACACAGTGATTTATATTCCTGTTTATATTATGCATAGAGGTTGCATAGGGGTTATACTATATAGGGGGAACATCTTATATCTATATTTCATCAAAGTTATTTGTTAAAAAAAGAGGGCACTTACCACAACTTGTAGCACCTGTTCATTGTGAATTGTAGAGGAAGAGGAAGAAGAGGAAGAGGAGGAAGAGGAAGAGGAGGAAGAAGAAGAGGAAGAGGAAGAAGAGGAGGAAGAAGTGTAAGAAGAGGGAGAGTCAGCCATCATTTGTGCCAAAGTCTGCATCAATGTTTTTCCAAGGAGGAAAAATGAGCTAAACATGGCAATTACTCCAAACACCATTCCAAAATTGAACCTGTCAAAAGGGAAAAAAAACTCGTATAAATGAAGAATCCCTCACAACTCAGCAACATTAACTAGCTACATTTCATAACTTCAAAATGACAGGTAAATATCTCAGTTACTAGGCATCTTTTTCGTAGCTGAACTTCACATACTTGACTAATCATGAGCACTAGTCTCTTTAAGCAATTTTAATAGCTTATAATTCTACAATTGAAGAGGCTGAAGATTGTTCACAGCTAAAAAAAAAAAAAGGTTTCCTCTCCTGTCTTTAAGGAGCTCTGGTAATATAGTGGTTAGAGTCATGCCGCACATGGACTCCGAATACATATGTGTGTGTGTATATATATATATATATATATATATATATATGAGTCCTGGTGTGGCGCTGTGGGTTAATGTGCCAGACTACAAAGCCGTTTGAACTGCTGCAAGGTCGGCAGTTCAAGCTCAGTAGCTGCTCCTCAGAAACCCTATACAGGGTTGTATATAAGGAGCTCTGATACGTAGTGGTTATGAATTGGGCTGCAAACCTCAAGGTCAGCAGTTCAAAACTACCAGCTGTTCCACAGGAGAAAGATGAGGCTTTCTGCTCCCATAAAGATTTATAGCCTCGGAAACTCTGTACAGCGTAGCTATGAGTCGGAAGCGAGTCCACGGCACATAACCACCACCACCACCACCAGTCTTTAGCTTACTCAAGTATCTATCTCGGCTTGGATCTTATTCTCATATAGTTATGAAAGCTCTTTTGACCTTCTTGTTAAGTGCCGTCAAGTCGGATCTGACTCAAAGTGACCCTGTATAGGGTTTTTAAGGAACAGTTGATGAATTTGAACCACTGACCTTGTGGTTCAAACCGACCTTGCAGTCCAGTGCATTATCCTACAGCCAATTTTTATTTTCATCTACCAACTTTTATTCTTTGCATTTTTATTTTAGGTTTATTTGTGATGATTGTTGTTAAGTGCAGTCCAGTTGGTTTGGACTCAGAGTGACCCTGTGTTGTTGTTGTTGTTTGTTGTTGTTAAGTGCCGTCGAGTCGGGTCCGACCCATAGCGACCCTGTACAGGGTTTCCGAGGGTGTAAATCCTTCCGGGAGTAGAAAGCCTCATCTTTCTCCCGCGGAGCAGCTGGTAGTTTCGAACCGCTGACCTTAAGGTTCGCAGCCCGATTCGTAACCACTACGCTACCAGAGCTCCTTTGTTGTTAAGTGCAGTCCAGTTGGTTTGGACTCAGAGTGACCCTGTGTAGATGAGTTTAATTAGTAACATAGTAAGAGATCACAACAGTTTATTTCTTCTACTGCTTAATAATGAAAAATTGTCCTTCTGTAGTTGGGAAAAATCTAATACTTTGGCTGAAGAAGCAATTTTCCTTTGTGGTAAGGTATGTATCATAAAATTTGTCATTTTATCTGCTATCTTTTTGATAAACTATGCTTTTTCAAGGAATTGCCCATTTCATCTAAAATGTTAAATTTATAGTTATAGAATTATTCACAACAGTCTTATGATTTTTTAGAATGTATATAGAATCTATGGGAAACACAGTAGCTCTGTAGGATAAGCACTGGACTGTGAGCTGCGGTTTGCAGTTTGAACCCACCAGGCACTCAGAGGAAGAAAAAATGAGGATTTCTGTTCCTGCAAAGATCTGCAGTCTCGGAAACCCTATATAGAATCGCTATGAGTTGGAACCAACTTGACAGCACTTACCAATAATAGAATATATAGAAATGTCAGATTTTTCACTTTTGATTTTTGGTTGCCTGTGTTTTCTTTCATTCTTGATCAGTCATTGAAGGGGTTTATCAATTTTATTTTTTCAAAGAACCAACTTTTGGTTTTGCAGATTTTTCTTACTCTTAGGTTTATTCTCTAGTTCTTTCTGTTTCATTGATTTCTACTCTTATCTTTACTATATCCTTCCTTCTAGTTTGTTTCCTTTGATCTGCTGTTGTATTTTCTGGTAAATTTTTTTTTTTTTTTGATGATCTGGGTGTTTGCATTTAACTCTATTCCATTTGGAACTAAATTTTTAACAAATAGGAATTTTAGAAAACCTCCCTCACCCCTACATTTGAAACTCTCTCAACCACAGAACCTGCCCCTATTAGGGTACCGTCTCCTAGAGATCACTGCAAACCCCCTAACTGTAAACATCACAATTTGTTACATTTTTAATGTTTGCAAAAGCACAATGATGTAATCCTATAAGCAAATATAAAATCAGAAATATCTTCGACTGTCAACTTTTTAAAATTCAGTAGACTGAAAAATTATTGGAAATAGCTAAACAAACAGTTATTTCTCATCATCAGAATGACTACTTAAAAGCAAAAAGAGAAGAAAATACCATTGGTAAAGCATCCTCGCTTTCCGTCGTCCCCAACTGTAAAAGGCACGATTGAAAACAGCAGTTTGCCATCTTATGTGAAAAGGGGAGATGCTCAATCCATTGTTTTCTAGCCAGTCTTCATAAGAATGTTTAAAATAGACAGATGACTAAAAGAGAAACAAATATTCCATATCACTAAATTTTGAAGAACATTTCTAATGTTTAAGAAAAGTAAGTAGAAGGATCATCTACAGGAAATCAGCATTTTGATCATTTTAAATGGTGATAATTTTAAAGCTTTATGTTCATGGATTTCCAAAAGGACAAACAAATCTGTGTTAGAAGAAGTACAGCCAGCATGCTCCTTAGAAGCCAGGATGGTGACAGTTTGTCTCTCAGACTTAGAACTTACTGTCAGGAGGCTCCAGTCCCTAGAGAAGAACACTATGCCTGGTAAAGTGGAGGGTCAGCGGGAAAAGGAAGATTCCCAACGAGATTGACTGGCACAGTGGCAGCAGTGGGCTCAAATGTAACCGCTGTGAGGATGTCACAGGACCAGGCAGTGTTATGCTCGGCTATGCATAATGTAGCGATAAGTTAGAGCTGACTCGGCACCTAAAAACATGTTCATTCTTGAGGGTCTTAAACTAGTTGGCCTGATATAGTTGTTGTTAGGTGCCATCGAGTCAGTTCCAATTCACACTGACCCTTATATGGGGTTTCTAAGAGCAGCTGGTGGGTTGGAACTACCAACCTTGTAGATCACAGTCCAGTGCTGATCCTACAATGCCACACCTGATAGGGTAAGGCAAATCATGCCCTGTGGGCCAAATCCAGTCTACAACCCATTTCTATAAAGTTTGTGAATTCAGAATGACTTTTATATTTTTAAAGGTGGTAAAAACAAACAACCAAACCAAATCAACCATCCATATAAGAATATGTAACAGAGACTCTTCATAGCAACCCTACGGACAACAGAAGGAAACCCTGTCTGGTCTTATACCAGCCTCACAAGTGTTATGTTTGAGCCCAATGCTGCTGTCACGGTGTCAGTCCATCTCGTGGGGGGTTTCCTCTTTTTTGCTGGCCCTCCATTTTTACCAAGCATGATGTCATTTTTCAGAGACTGGTCCTTTCTGATAACATGTCCTAAGTATGAGAGATAGTCTCACCATCCTGGTTCCGAAGGAGCATTCTAAGCTGCACTTCAATCAAGACAAGATTTGTTTCTTTTTCTGGTAGTCTGTGGTACTTTCAATACTCTTCTACAAAACTGTAATTCAAATATATCGATTCTTTTCCACTTTTCCTTATTAATTGTCCAACTTCCACATGCCTATGAAGCTATTGAAAATACCATGGCTTCGATCAGTCTCACCTTAGTCCTCACACTGATATCTTTGCTCTTGAACACTTTAGAGAAGTCTTGTGCAGCAGTTGTACCTAATGCAGTTGTTTGATTTCTTGACTGCTACTTCCATGAGTGTTGACTGTGGATCCAAGCTTGGAATAGCATTGTCCAATAGAAACAAATCACGTAAGTCACATAAACTCAAACCCAACCCACTGCCGCTGTGTCCATTCTGACTCAGAGAGAGCTAGACCCACACAGAGTGGAACTGCTCCACAGGGTTTGAGACTGCAAAGCTTTCTGACAGTAGAAAGCCTCATCTTTCTCCTGAGGAGTAGCTGGTGGATTTAAACCACTGACCTTTGTGATTAGCAGCCCAATATTTAACCTACGGCAACACCAGGCCTCCTTATAAACCACATATATGATTATAAATTTTTAGTAGCCACACTTTAAAAAAAAGCAATTAGAAATGGGTGAGATTAATTTTAATTAACTTAATGTTTTCTTTAATTCAAAATCATTATTACTACTTCAATGTGTAATTAACATTAAAAAAATGGAGAATACATTCTTTTTTTGGGGTACTAAATCTTTGAAATCAGCATGAATTTCACTTATATCTCCATTTGGACTAAACATTTCAAGTGCTCAACAGCTACTTTATTGTACAGAACAAGTCTCAAAGAAATGGGTCTTGTGTTAGAATTTAAAAAGACCCCCAACCAATGCAACAGAAGGGGTAGGTTCATTAGAACCAGAGCTTTCTATCGTCTTCCGAGCAACACCACTAAGAAATGAGGCTGACTTTAATCCTGTAAAAGTACAAAACTATCTAAAGTCATACTTGTCTCGGTAACTCCTCTTTTAAATTCTCTGGGGTTGGGAGAATAGCTGCTTATATTCAACCCTAAGAAGAGTTTTATCTTCTGGGAAGTTTGAAGTCCTTGGCTAATGTGGGATTTTGGATAAAGTCAGGCTGTTATAGACCCATCTGATTCCTATTTCTGCAGTTAGGGTAAGCATAGTAAGTATCTTGTCTTATTGATGCTGATCCCCCTGAAGGTTCCTCGAAGGATATTTTAGTCCCATCATAGTTATGAAGGAGTCCTGGTGTGTCATTGCAGGATAAGCACTGGACTACTAACTGCAGAGTCAGCTGTTCAAACACACCAGCTACTTCTTAGAAACCCTATACAGAGTCACTATGAGTCAGAACCCACTCTACAGCACTTAACAGTTATTAAAAATAACCTGAGTCTGAATACAGGTGTGTGTTTACCTTTGGAGCTACCCTTAGGCTTCTGGAGAATGTTTCAAAATCTGCTTGTTTCCTGGGAGTTGGAAAAGGGGAGTAACATACCCTTCCAGAAATGTTTACTGAGGAAATCCTAGGAGAACAAAGGGTGAATGGCAGACCAAGCAGGAAGCAAAGTAGTTGAAAGTGTAGGCTCCTAAAAATCAAGGCCTTAGTCAGACTGATTACTACAAGAACATGCAGGTTGCTAGCCGAGAAGACATCAAGGCAAGTGGTTGGGTCCCCTCAGGGCAAACCCCCTTACAAGACTAAGACTCAACGGGAATACACACTCTGATTCTCTGATTGGTGACTACGTTGGTCACTGATAAGGGGAAGTGAGGGAAAAACAGAAATTCAGCTGCAAGGTAAGCCCTACAACATTCAACAGACTCCTGTGAACCTGGGTGGAGACCTAGTTGGCCAGCAGTGTGGCAAGACCTGGGGACTCCTGGGCCTAGAGTCAGTGACATAGCCACAGAGGACTAGAACGGAGAGTGAAGCATTCAGCTGATAAGAAGAGAGGGCATATGCATAAGAATATCCACACTTGCAGATAATACCCACTTGACCTGGCTTCCATAGATGATCAGAGCTCAACTAGAAGAAGAAAAAAGAGGAAAAAAAGAGTAATCTGATACAATTTTATGAACTTGACCTACACCTATGGATGCAGTAGCTCAAAAGAGGGAACAAATTTTTACAGTGAGGATCATTCCCACCCCCTCCATACACAGAGTAGACAGGGCTGGGCAACTTGGACAGTGGCTACCCAAAATTGGGGGGGGGGGGCCACAAAGGCTTACAAGCTTTCAAGAGGGAGCCTAGATCTAGAGGGCGTGGAGGAAGGTAGAATCTTCACTGAGTAGTATCCAATCTGTCTGGGCTGGGCTGATGAAAGGAGATGGGGATTGGGCCTTGTGGTACAATAGTGAATAACTGTTATCAGGACTGACTGTGAAGTTTGGAAATGTAAAGGTAGATGTTTTGTAGCAAAAGGAGGGGAGTGATTGACTTTGCAGTCTAGGAGCGGAGTTCCCTGGGACCATCAAGGGAGACGAGTGAAGCGTGGGACCCTACCCAGAGAAACAGTGACGCCAGAGAAGGAGGCAGAGACGATGGCGTGGAGAGATGGAGCAGCTGGGGACTTTTGACCCAGAGTGGGAGAGGGGCTGTGTGCTGATGAGCGGGGGGCAGGTTTGCAGGGTATATACCCTTTGGTTGGTTGATGGATGGGATTGTAACCATGGCAAAGAAATGATATATGATAGGATGAATGTAAAGCTAATGTTCTCCTATGTAAACCATCACATAATTCACAATAAAACAATATTAAAAAAAAAAAAAAAATCAAGGCCTCTCCAATCTGGAACGGGCACTCTGTATGAGTATTAGGTCTTTTGCTCAGGGGATATTGTTCATAGGGAGCTGGGGCTGTCTGGGATTAAAGGGACATCCGCATCACCTCACACAGTTGACCAGAGACTCTTGTTGTTAAGTGCCATTGAGTCACTTAAGACCCATTGCAACCCTATATAGGGTTTCCTAAGAGCGGCAGATGAGCTTGAACCACCAACCTTATGGTTCAAACTGACTTTACAGTCCAGCACATTAACCCACAGCACCACACCAGAGACTGTAGAGGTTTCTGTAAACCAAAAACTCAACCCACTGCCATCAAGTCGATTCTAACTCAGAGTGACCCTATGTAGGGTTTCTGAGGCTGTAAATCTTTACTTAACAGAAAGCCTCTTCCTTCTGACCCTTTGGCAGCCCAAGCGTAATCTACTCTGCTACCACTGCTACCACGGTTCCACAGAGGTTTCTAAAATCTTTTTTTTTTTTCAATATGTAAAATGAAGATATGTGGCTTTTTAAAAACAAAAGAAAAAAACAACAAAAAACTGGTTAAAGCAGTGGCTTGGATTATTTATGACATGCTAAACAAGGAGCTCAGGTGTGGCGCTGTGGGTTAATGCGCCAGATTGCAAAACCGTTTGAACTGTAAGGTCGGCGGTTCAAGCTCATCAGTCGCTCCTCGGAAACCCTATATAGGGTCGTTATGGGTTGGAACCGACTCCACGGGACTTAACAACATTAACCAGCAAGGAGCTCTAAGGAGCTCTGGTAGCATAATGGCTACGAATCGGGCTGCTAATCTCAAGGTCAGCCGTTTAAAACTACCAGCTGTTCCGCGGGCGAAAGATGAGGCTTTCTGCTCCCTAAAGATTTACAGCCTCGGAAACCCTGTAAAGGGTCGCTATGGGTCAGAACTGACTCCACGGCACATAACACCAACAAACAAGGAGCTCTGGTGGCGTAGTGGTTACGAATCGGGCTGCTATCCTCAGGGTCAGCAGTTCGAAACTACCAGCTGTTCCGCGGGAGAAAGAGGAGGCTTTCTGCTCCCGTGGAAACCCTGTACAGGGTCGCTATGAGTCGGAACCAACTCCACGGCACATGACAACAACAACAACAACACTAGGCCAAGTACTTCATACAAACGTGCATCTGGGGATATTGTTAATCTGGGGATATTGTTAAAATGTAGAGTCAGATTCTGTAGACAGGGATAAGGCTTTGAGAGTCTGCATTTCTAATAAGCTTCAAGATGAAGCAGCACTGCTGGCCCTTGAACCTCAAGTAACTGAGGAACTGCAGTAATCCTCTACAATCTCAGACAATCTTTACTACTCCTGTCCCCATTTCAAAGATAAGGGCACTAAGGCAATAGAGAGTAATTTGCCCAAAGTCCCTAAGGCTAGGAAATGGCAGTCCGGCTTTTGCTCTATCTAAATACTACACCGTATGTTGTTGTTGTTGTGATGTGCTGTGGAGTTGGTTTCGACTCACAGCGACTCTGTACAGGGTTTCTGAGGCTGTACATCTTTACGTGAGCGAAAGCCTCATCTTTCTCCAGCGGAACGGCTGGTAGTTTCGAACTGCTGACCTTGCGGTTAGTTTCGAACTGCTGACCTTGCGGTTCGCAGCCCGATTTGTCGTAACCACTACGCTACCAGAGCTCCTTGAGGGGGCTTCAAAAAGTTTGTGGAAAAATCCATTATCTTTTAATACTAGTTTTTATTTTTTATTTTTGAAGCCCCCTGGCATAACCTCCTATACTTTCTAAATTCAAAGGTAAAAATAAAACACACAATGCCAAGCTACAGGATTCTACTTAAAAGGTATTCACAATATTAAGATTCTCCTATTCATTAACTAAGATGTTTCTTAAACATTTGAGAATTTATGATTATGATTTTATTCCACACATACAGAAAGGAACACACAGCTTTTCCTCTCCCCTGTTCAATTTCAAAAGGTTGCTTGAAAGCATGTGCTTGGATTCTGCTTGCTACCCTTTCTAAATAAGTCAAGAGTGAACCATTCACCCAGGGTTGTGTGGCGGAAGGGGAGAGTGAAGTTAGTGTGAAGGAGATGCAGGGTGCAAAGATTACAATACAAGTAGTTAGTTACTAGTTATCAAAATCCTTGCTACTTTAATTACCGCTACTCGGAAGTACGGTCTGAGAGCGAGCAGCACTGGTGGTGGTGGGTGGTGGTGGTGAAGTGCTTTCGAGTCGGTTCTGACCCATAGTGACCCTGTACAGGGTTTCCGAGGCTGTAAATCTTTACGGGAGCAGAAAGCCTCACCTTTCTCCCGCGGAACAGTACCTGGTAGTTTCGAACTGCGGACCCTAAGGTTCACAGTCCGATTTGTAACCACTACGCTACCAGAGCACGCTTCGGAATTTGTAGAAATGCAGAATTTTAGGCCCTGCTCCATACCTATGGTAGCGTAGTGGTTACGAATCGCGCTGCTAACCACAAGGTCGGCAGTTCGAGACTACCAGCTGTTCTGCGGGAGAAAGATGAGGCTTTCTGCTCCCATAAAAATTTGCAGCCTCGGAAACCCTGTGCAGGGTCACTATGAGTCGGAACCTACTCCATAGTACTTAACAACCACCACCACCATACCTACTGAATCAGAATCTGCATTTTAATCGAAAAGCTCAGAGGATGACCTTAAGCACATCATGTTTGAGACCACTGCTCTAAATCACTTGATTCGTAAGCATTCTAATACAAGACTCTCTAGAGGGTTGGACCTTTACGGGCAATGACGGAAAACAACGCCTCCCGTAAGCAGATCCTTTCTTTTTCTCCAGAGGGTCCCGGGTGGCGTCTGGCAGTGCCATAGCCCCCTCCGCTCAGACCCAAGACTAAGACTGCCGCAGCGACAGCCGCGCTAGCCGCCACACCCCTCTCTCTGCTGACCTTGCTTTATTTACTCCACGGGGCCTGGGCACTGCACGGAAGGCCACACGTGGGCAAGGGCCAAACGGCTTCCAGCCTGGAAAGCGAGACAGGGGGAACAGAAAAGGCCTTGGCGACACAGGACCTTGCACCTCCGGCCCGAGGCCCTCACCTTCAGCACCAAGTCAGTCAGATAGACGGCAGTCCAGCCGCCCACCACCACCACCAGCAACGACACAGGAATCATAGCGTTGGTAGCGGCGGAGGCAGCAAGGCAAGCCCCGGCGTCTTCCTCCTGTTATTCACAACCAGCCGACCGCGCAGCGCCTACAATCCCAGCATCAGCGGAGGAACCAAGATTCCTCCGGCTCCTTTCCTGCGATGGTTCCGTTTCCCTCCGGACTCTTCCGACGGTTCACCTTGACACCGGAAAAACTGCGCGGGGACTTAGTTTAGTGGCGCACTTGGGTGCTGTAGTTATAGCGTCAGCTGGACCTCCGACTGGAGCTCTCCAGCGATTAGTCCTCAATCGATTTCTTAGGCTTTTGCCCTCCCTGCTTTCGGCACTCCATTCTCACCGTTTCTGGTCTGGAGTTTGCTGTTCTTAATTTAGTGAGAGCGTGGGAATCATCTGAAGTAACAATCCTCTGTGCCTCGTCGACCACGTCATAGTTATCCCAATTTAAAGTTAAATTTGTTCGTCAGTTGATCGAACTGTAATTTGCATATTGTAATCCATTCTGTTCTCAATTGTCCATCTAGATGGCTTTGAACATTCCATCTCCCCAGGAAGTTCCTGCTTGCCACGCAACATAAATTTATCCATATTGTTAGTTAAATTAGGCTGTTTTCTCGACATCTTTCATCATAAAATTTAAGATCGGTACCGCGGTTAAAAAAAAGAAAAAAAAAAAAAAAAAGGAGCCCTGAACATCTGCACATACTTTTATGTTGATGCATATATATCACGGGGTTTTAGAAGTTCGTGGAAAATTTATATTATTTTTTCATTTTCCACGAACTGTTTTGCAGCCCTGATGTAGTGATTCTCAACCTTAGTGGCATATTAGGATCGCCAGGGGGCTTTAAATTTTTCTGATCCCCATTCTGTTGTTAAGTGCTGTCGAGTCAATTCCGACCCATAGCGACCCTGTATAGGGTTTCCGAGGAGAAGGTGGTGAGCTTGAGCCGCCGACCTCGCAGTTCAAAGGGCTTTGCTGTGTGGCGCATTAGTCTAGAGCAATTAAATCTGTCTCCAGATGGGATTTAAGCATCCGTATTTGTAAAGCTCCTCAGGTCATTTCACCAGGCATCTAAGAACAACTGAATTAGATGATATCAAACAGGAAGGAAGAAAATATTTATCTAATGCTTTTTTGCAAGAAATGTGGTGGCTCCATAGGATAAGCACGGGACTGTGAACTACAAGGTCTGTAGTTTGAGCACACCAGCTACTCCCTGGGAGAAAACTGAGGCTTCCCTGGAGGGCACTAAACAACAAAGTGCTGTGTTTGCATTCTTTAAAATTTATTTTTAATTTTCTGGAAAAGCATCATGATCAATAATAATAATGTTATTAAGTGCCATTCAGTTGATTTTGACTGTTGGTCTTTGTTTCCGAGGAGCAGACCTTGAGGTTAGCAGCCCAGTGCTTATCCTATAGCACTACACCAGGAATCTAGTAATAATGTTCCCTTGAGTTGGTTTTGACTCACAGCGACCATGTATAGTTTCCAAGGAGCAGCTGGTGGGTTTGAACCACTGACCTTGCGTAAGTACTTCTCCTACAGCACCACACCAGGACTCCAGTGATAATAATGTTAAGTACCAACAAATCGGTTCCGACTTATAGTGACCCTGTATATAATTTCCAAGCGTTGGCTGGTGATTTTGAACTGCCAACCTTGTAGTTCAAACCAACCATGTGGTCCAGTGTTTTATCTTATAGTGCTATACCAGGACTTCAAATAATAGTAATGCTAATACCAAAATAATAATTGTTAGTTGATAAGCACTTGACCTCAAGGTCGGTTTGAACTGCCACATCTGCAATTCAAATTGCCCAGCCACTCCAGAAACCCTATACAGGGGCGCTATGAGTCGGAATGGACTGAACAGCAGTTAGCAACAACAGTTGCCATCAACCCATGGCAGCCCCATGTCCAGCAAAACAAAATGCTGCCCTGTCCCAGCCACCCTCAGGTTCTTTTGTATGCTTGAATCCACTGCTGAAGCCACTAAGTATTTTGAGTGCCTTCCATTCTAGGGGGCTCATTTTCTAGTGTTAAACTGGATAATATTTTATGGTGACCTAATGAGTTTCTGTTGGTTAATTTTTGGACATAGATTGCCAGGCCTTTCTTCCTACTCTAACTTAGTCTGGAAGCTCTGCTAAAACCTGTCCAGAGGTGACCATGCTGGTATTTGAAATACTTGTGGCATAGCTGCCAGCATCATAGCAATATGCAAGTCACCATAATATGACAAACTGACAGACTCATACCAAAATATCAAGGATATAATGCTATCTTAAAGACTAAGTATCACAATTAAAAATGCACCTTTAACCCTCTTCAAAGTGAAAATATAATACCAGTTGCCTGACTTATTCTTACATTTCCTAAAGTTTTAATCATTTAGCAGCATAAATCATATTTCTCTAGTTTCAATAAACCTCAAGTCTCAGTCTTGCATCTTCTTGCGTATCTATGTATATATGTGTTGTTATAAATAGTTTCAGTTTTTTTGAGCATGGGTCTAAATTATAAAAGCTTGTATTCAAGCATCCTTTGACTCCACAATTTTCCATATACAGGAGTTCCCAAAGTCTTAGTGTAGTTTTAAACTTGGATAACTTCAGAAGTATAAATGCTACAATCTTGCAAAAAACACCACTTGAAAGTTTATTTAAATTTCTTTTACACTTACTTAACTCTTGTGAAATTTGAATGATTTAAAATTGTTTAGTTCCTCTAATTGAAGATGGAAAATAATAGACTGAAGTAGATGAAATGTATTTATGCTTCGAAATTTCACAAAACTAAATCATCATAAAAGAAAATTATTTTATTTCCAAATGATGTTTCGTGTAAGATCGTAGAATTTATACTGCTGAAGTGTCGTAGCAAAGCATAAATCTTACACTCTGTTAGAAGTGAAAGCAAAGAAAGGTAGCGAGCTTCAGAAGTTGGGAGACACACTAGCACCCTGGCAGGGTCCTACCCACCCAAACCTAACCCACTACCAATGAGTCAATTCCAATTCATAGTGACCCTGTCTAGGTTTCCCAGGCTGTAAATCTTTAAGGGAACAGAAACCCTCATTTTTCTCCCTTGGAGCAGCTGGTGGGTTTGTTTGAATTGCTGACCTTTTGGCTAGCAGTCCAGTGCTTATCCTATAGTGCTACCAGAGCTCCTTTGGTGGTGGGACTGTGGAGTCGGTTCCGACTCACAGTAACCCTGCATAAGGTTTCTGAAGCTGTAAATATTAATGGGGCGAGGAGGGGGTGGTGGTGGTGGTGGCAGAAATCCTTATCTTTCTCCCGCGGAATGGCTGGTAGTTTGGAATTGCTGACCTTGAGGTTAGCAGCCAGGGCTCCTTTATTGCATTACAAATTGCAAGAATCCTGGCATTCCAAATTGCAAGAAGAGTGAGGTTTTTATCAGGTGGAGTAAACAAAGAGCTATATGCTCACAGGCTCAAGGGTGTGCATGGCAAAGAGTTACAAAGGCTTTGTTAAACTACAATCCTTTTTAGCATGACCATTTCTATTTCCTAACCTCCTGGGACACTGTTGACCAAGGTACTCTGCCATCAAGCCACTGTAAACACTCTTGAGAAACATCTTTTAACAAACAAGTCCTCTTACAAGCCTTGATCTTTGCTCTTTTTGGGTTACAAGCAGCTAAATTTTACAAGAAGGTGAATTGTCTCTGCAGAGCAAAAGAAGCAGAGTTTTTAGCACAAACTGCAGTTTGATTAAAAAATGGAGTTTTATTTCTATCTGGGGCAGCCATTTTAATCATGCCAATGCCTCATTTGGGGGTTTGCTTATACAGAAGTTTTAAAACTTAAAACTACCAAGTCTATTGGTATATTACTGTATTTGAACTGATTTTGTAGATTTCTTGCCTGGAAGGAGAATATTAACTAAAGAATGGAAATGTCTTTTCTTTCATTAGCCTAAGCCTTATTAACACCAGTACCAGCTAACATATGGCTATCTGATAATCCACAATATGTAGGAAATGAGTTGATTGTGCTTTTCTGTTTCCAATCTAAAGACATATTTATGCAGTTGACTCTGTGTTCTCATCAGGGACCCAGTAGTCAGAACTAAACACTGGATTGAATCCTGCTAGTTGCTGGAATTACGCAGCAGAATAAGCCAGCTGGTGGCAGTAGAAGAGACAAGATAGAGGATGTAAGATGGTAGCGAAGAAAGCCCGAATTCCCAAAGATCAGGGTATTCTTCCTTCAAATAAATTTGTAGCTTAATTTGCATATTGCTTTAGATGTTTTTCAAGTAGCTGTTATAAATAAAAGACATGAAGTCAAGCTTTTGTTCAATTATTTTTGTTCAGTATATCATTCTTAAAGGGATAACAAATATACATTTTGATTGTATGCAAAATTGTTAAGTGCTGTCAAGTCTGTTCCGACTCACATCTCTCCTTGTATAGGGTTTCTAAGGAGCAGCTGGTGGGTTTGAACCGCCAACCTTGCAGTTAGCAGTCTAGTATTTACCCTACAACCCTGCACCAGGACTCTACTTAAAATAACTACATGTTAAAATCAATCAAAGTCAAATATCAGTATTATACAATAAACTTCTGAGATATAAGAATAAACATAAAATTAAAGATTACACTTTTATCTTACTGCAGTTTTGTTATAAAAAATGTCAGTATTCAAATTTACAAAAGTTTGACATTACATTCAGTAATACAAGGATAAATAAAAATGTGTTCCTACTAAGGTTCCAGTTCATACATGAATGGGTTTATTCCAAACAAAATGTCAAAATGTGTGTAAGCATGTTTTTATGATCAGTGGGTAGCTACAAAACACTGGCTTCTGCAGGCATCTGCTAGACCAGTTAAATTGGAGGCGGAGAGGTAAAACTCAGAAGGTCATAGTGGTATTCCGAAAGGGGAATCCTTGTAGGTTTTCTCAAAGGACAGAGTATGATCACGGGGGCTTACTATGAAGAAGTTTGAAAACTGCATTGGTGAGAAAAAGGCCTGGGAAGTTGTGCTAAGGAATATTTTTCTCTCACAAAAAAGCACCTGCTTATTCTTTGAGGGTAGCAAGGACTGTCTTAAGAGAATTTCATTGGGAAATCTTACCCCATCAACCCTACATTTAAAAGGAACATGATTTGAGTCCCTTGAGGATGCAAAACCTGCA